ACTCTTTCCTGTGTCAAAGGTTTTCTTGAACAGACTTCCCACCCCAGTACCTACTTACTCTACATTTTTCCTGTCCAAACTGCAGAACATGTAGACGAGTTTTGTGGTACTAAAGAGCACCACATTTCACCTTTAGAAACCTAGCTTTTTGTCTGTGACTCTTATTTAATTTGTTCCCACTGAAGAATGAGAGGTAAAACTCTCTCTACAGAAACTGCCACTATATGCACTCCTTTTACCATTTCCCTTTCAATCACTTGTAGGGAGAGCTCCAAGAACTAAAGCACAAGTAACCTCTCTGAGTATTCTGTGTTAGTGTTGTGCTCATTTATGAATTGGAACGTGGACAGAGTAACATATAACTGAGTAAACATGTTTTAAAATGCTGCTTAAATGTAAGTGAAATAACAATTTTGAAGAACAAGTCTTCTTCCCTTTCCTACCTTTCCTCCTCCTCTCATACATCTACAAACCATTTTACCTTCTTTTCTTGTGCTCCTGAGACACTGAGTACTTAAATTTCTTCAGGTTACCACTGACGAGTGTCCTCCAGAGGAAGGACAGCAGCAGCCCACATGCTCTCCGCTCTGCTGCAATCATCCAATATGCTGAAGCCAACAGCAGCTATTTTTGGTGTGTACAGCACAGTAAATGTCAGGACCTCAGTGGGAGCACAGGCAGCCAGACACCCAGCCAGCTTTTTGAGAGCTGGCAAGTAAAAAGTTAACAGCCACCAACTTGATTACACTACTCCTTGGATCACTGAGGCAGCAAGCAGCTGGGGAGCCTCCGTGTGAATTAAAATTTCGTTCAAGTTTGTTGGATTGTACTGCTGGACAGAAGGGAAAAAGGAACTATTCATCTATCTGGGGCAGCCTCATGCTGTTCCTTGTGGGGCAGGAGTAGCTCCCATGCATCCTGGTAGGCAGCACTGCAACATTCAGCCCAGTGCTGCTGCAAAACAAGCAGGAAGGGTGATAAACTATTTTATACAAAAGACAATAACTGAGCAGAAGGTTTTCTCCAGGATACTGGCTGCCAGTTCACAACAGGAAGAAATGACATTAAACAAATCTGCATCCAAGGCATTTTATGTGTAATAATTATACATTAATTATGGTTACCTGTGGGTATTAATTATAATTATTACATGCAATTAACATGTAATTATGCTTTAATATATATTTTCACTATATATATAGAGCGCTATATACACACTTTTATACATACCCCAGCTCTTCACATTTGGAAAGCTGCATTTCCGATCCTCCAGAAACATTCCTGAAGGACCCCATCTTTGTGCAAAATTTACCCACGGGTAAGGAACAAGAAACACAACAGTACTGCAAGTAGGCCGGAGGACAGCACAGATTTAACCTTAAGGCTCTGCATCCATCTTCTGAGGGCAGCGCCACCCCCGGTGCCAGGCCCCTGGGCACAGCCACCCTGCAGCACAGCCAGCAGCACCCACAGCAAGTCATCAGGGCTATGCAGGGACAGCCAGAACTACGAAGGCAAGTCAGATCCAGCATCATGCTTGAGCCACCTTTCATAGTCCACGTCTGGTCTTGGTAGTGAAAATGACTTGGTTCAGTGCCTAAGAGCTTGGTAACACTTAACCTACATGGCTCTTCTGCTTTGTTCTTGTTTGCGAGGGATGCCCAGTCCCCAAGCCTTCTGGAAATGTTCCCTCAGCAGAAATCCTGCAGCTCTCCCTTGCTGCAAATGTTTCACTGGGTGCCCTATTTTCCTTATTTTTATAATTGGCTGCTCTCCCCAGAATCTCTCCCTAAAGTCAAGATACCCTTGTTTATAACCAATCCCAACTCTCCTCCCACACCACAAAGCTGTTTTACACAAGATAATGTGCAGCTAAATATTATTACTCACCTACCAACAAAATACATTCAGCTTTATGTTCCTTCCACATCTTATCTTACAAATTATTTGAAATTTCTGGACTTGCATGATGCACACCTAACTAGCATATTCATTATTCTTCCCTCTCAATAATCTCACAAAAAAATGAGCAGTTGGTGACCCAGAATGGACCTGAGTCAGGAACTGCTCCCAATCTGCCACTTGTTAATTAAAAAAAATAAATAAATGTAGGGTAATTATATTGTGTATCTATTGATCTAGGTTGGCTTATAGGAAAGTCCTCTGACAATATGGGACAATATGGCAATGTCATGCCCCTGAAAAAAACATAGCCAGATTCCTTCATTTTCTTTCTCGTATTGTCAAAGAGAAGTGATCATGTTAAGATTTAGGTAATCACAGACTGTGTTACTTTTAATCACATCTTCTTGAAAGTAACAAATGAAATATGGTATTAGAAATTATTATAATATTCTATTACTAAATTATTATTATTAGATTCCAGGAAAATGTCTATAAGCAGATTAAGTCTCCCAATATGAAACTCCCCACTTCCAAGCTCTTTTGTGAACTGTTCCTAGGCTTCCCTTACTTTCTTCTCAGCTTTCCTTTCGGTTCACTACCCACATGCACCTTCTTTGCCTAGGCTGTGGTACCTGCCTGTGGGCTTTAGATGCCTTGCTAAGCTTAAGACTGCCTGAGACCCTAGCAGAAGGCAATACAGGCAGCATCCCACATGGAATTCATCCCATCCAGTGCCCTTTCCTTACCTAAGTCCTGACCCTGAACAACAGCACAGCTCCATGGCTCTGCCAGGATAGTCAGCTCCTCTTCCTCTAGGAGTGAAGCAGCAGAATGGAAAACCAGTGTAACCAACTGCAAGGTACTTTATTGCTACCATACAACACAGATCATTAGATGAAGGGTCTTTCCTTCCTTCTTTAAAAAGCTTCTTTTTTTTTTTTTTACCAACACTGCACTGACTGGCAAGCTCTCACTGAGCTTGAAACATGTTCTAGCTCAGCATCTGGCAAAGACATGTTCCTTAAACTGCATTTCACTGTTTCCCTATCAAAATAACTAGCAGCTCTCTGAATCTTAGTAGGATGTCCAAGACTAAGATATAACTGCCTGCTCGTGGTCCAGGGCAGTAATAAGATTTGCAGGAAATAAGGATAAAGCTTGTAGGGACTGTATGACCTTGTTCTCTGTTACAAATAGATTAAGAGGTTCCAAAAATAAAAGTTTAAGAAGCAGCACTTTTATAGCCTTAAATTACCTCTACAAGTCAGAGCTGCAGCAGTTAAAAAAGAATCCTTCCAGTCTGT